TTGTTGACAGTTTGAATCTACCAGTGGCTTCATGGCAGATAGAAGGGCAATCTCCTCCAATGAAATTTAAAGTCTCAGATCAAAGGGCAGGTGTATGTCAATGTCAGCTTATAGGCAAAGAGTCTGAGGCATTTTGTTGTTTTTAAATGCTGGATAGCATTTAGTACAAATAGTTTTGTTTCTTATTAGACAAATAAACTCAACTCATTGCCAGCTGTTGACTGAGAACTAACTCACAGCTGATGCTCCAGCAGGTTTTCAGAGACTAAACCACACAGAAGAGAGGGTAGCTCATGGATTCAAACCACTTGCCTTTGCGTCAACAGCATGATTCCCCATCCATGAAGGCATCTCCTTTACTTATCATTAAGGTAACAATTCTTTAAAATTTTTGGTTTGAAGTATTACTTTGTCTTTTATAATCTGCCTTGAAGATCAGGTTTGGGCCTCTAATTAGAATAAGATTCTTCAGTCAATTCAAACATGGCTTTGAAAGAAACAAAAATTGTTAGATCAATAATTTACCCTGATTAAAACAAGCTTGGAAGCAGGAGTGGCATCAAGTTCCGTAATAGTTTGCCTCTGGAAACTCTATGAACCTGGAGAAAGGATGAAAGTCACACAAGTGTTGAGGATTTTCATTTATAGGGTCGCTATGAGTCGCCTATGACTCGACGGCATTTACCAAAACCAACAATTTAGTCACTATTTTTTTGTTTTACATTATGTTATGCCATCAAGTCAAGTGTATTATGTGCCATTCTCACAATCTGAGATATACTCGAGCCATTGTTAAAGTAATTTTAACAAGTTAGGTTGATGGAGGTCTTCTTCTCTTTCTAGCCTCTGAGGAACACTTTAGTTACACTTCCTCCAAGACAGACTTGTTTGTTCTTTAGCTTAATTTTCAACATTGAAAATTAGAAGATTTGTTTTGTTTTGTTTTACTTTCTAGTTTATTTTGAGGGAGTTCTAGGGGCGGAGTGACAAGAAGCGCACTCCGAAGGCACGTCAATGGAGGCCACCAGCTGCTCCATGCGAGAAGGATGAGCAGTCTCTGCCCATGCCATTAACCACCTCTGAAAACCTGTTGGAACCAACCTATGGGTTGGTTCTAACTCTATGGTATAAAAAAACAAGTTTATTTTGAGAAAAGATACTAAAGATTTTATTTAATCGGTCACAGATTACAGAAACTCATCAAAAGAAGAAGTGTTTCATTCCCTTTTTGGTTCAATTTTTCCTTTTGGATTTTATGTCTAATGTTAGACAACAATCACATGTTATAACTGCAATTATTTTTAATTGCAGAAATCGATGGTATACCAATTGAGGTATTTCAACTAACAGAAGCTGCTCTAGATGTGCTCACCAAGTTGTATCAAGAAATCTGGAGGACAATCACTTGGCCAAATTGACTAGAAGAGATCTATATTTGTTCCAATTCCAAAGAAAGGTGATACAACAGATTGTGGAAATTATTGAAAAATATCATTGACATCACATGAAAGCAAGATTCCGCTGAACATTCTACCAGAAGTTCAGGCTGGGATTAGAAGAGGTTGTGTTACTAGGGATACTGTAGCTAATGTCAGATGGATCTTGGCTGAAAGCAGGGTGTACCAGAAGAATGTCTATCTGTGTTTCATTGATTATGCAAAGACGTTCGACTATGTGGATCATAACAAACTGTGGCTGACTATGAGAAGAATGGGAATCCCACAACACTTGATAGTACTTATGTGAAGCCTATACTTGGACCAGGAGGCAGTCATCAGAACAGAGCAAGGAAACACTGCATAGTTCAAAACTGGGAAGGGTGTATACCAAGAGAAGTGTCCTATTGCCATACCTTTTCAACCTACATGCAGAACAGATTATCCAGGAGGCTGGGCTGTATGAGAAGTGTGGAATCAAGATTAGTGGAAGATTCATCAAGAAACTGCGTTATGCAGATGACACAACTCTGCTTGCTGAAACTGAGGAGGACCTGAAGCACTTGCTGCAGGAAGATCAAGGAGCACAGCCTTCAAAATGGATTGAGGTTCAATATCAAGAAGACAAAGATTCTCACCACTGGGCCAAGTGGCAGTATCAGGATGGATGGTGAAAAGATTGAGATTGTTAACAGCTTTGGTTTGCTTGGCTCCAAAGTTAACAGTCTTGGCACCAACAGCCAGGAAACTAAAAGATGTGTTGCAGTGGGAAAGTCTGCTGTTAGAGAGTACTGAAGAGCAATGATGTCACTCTGGAAACTAAGGTGCATCTGATACAGGCCATGGTCTTTGCAATCACTTTCTATGTGTCAGAGAGCTGGACAATGACTAGGAAGGATAGAAGGAGAACTGATGCCTTTGAGCTGTGGTGTTGGAGAAGAGTATTGAATATACGATGGACTGCTAAGAAAATAAACAGGTTCATCCTTGAGAGGGTTAAGCCAGGCTGCTCCTTGGAGGCAAAGATTTTGAAGTTTTGTCTGACATACTTTAGACATGTTACAAGGAGGGATCAGTCCTTGGAGGAGGACATCATGCTTGGGAGAGTGGAGGGATAGCACAGAGAGGAAGACCATCTATGATTCAGTGGCTGGGGTAATTGGGGTGGGTGTGTCAGAGACAGTGATATTGGCACAGGATAAAGCAGGGTTTAGGGCTGCTGTACCTAGGGTCACTATGAGTCTCAGGTGACTCGATGGCACATAAGAACAACTTGGTCAAAGTTTTATTTCTTTTGGATCTAACTAGTCATAATAAATAAGCAGACAATTACTCTGCTTCTCTCTATAGAACTGACTTCAGATATTTAGAAACATAATTCTTTTGGTATATGCCAGCACTTCTTCCACCAATCCTGATTCTCCTCATAGAGCTCAGCCTCCCGGATAATCTGCTCTGCATACAGGTTGAAAAGGTATGGAGAGAGGACACATCCCTGGCGTATACCCTTCCCAATTTTGAACCAAGCAGTGTTACCCTGCTCTGTTCTGACGACTGCCTCCTGGTCCAAGTATAGGTTTTGCATTAGCACGATTAAATGTTCTGAGATTCCCATTCTTCTCAGAGTCAGCCACAGTTTGTTATGATCCACACAGTCAAACGCCTTTGCATAATCAATGAAACATAGATAGACATTCTTCTGGTATTCCCTGCTTTCAGCTAGGATCCATCTAACATCTGCTACAATATCCCTAGTACCACAACCCCTTCTAAACCCAGCCTGGACTTCTGGCAATTCTCTGCTGATGTGCTATTCCAGTCGTTTTTGGATAATCTTCAGTAGAATCTTGCTTGCATGTGAAATCAAAGATGTTGTTCTGTAGTTTCCACACTCAACTGTTGGGTCACCCTTCTTTGGAATGGGAACAAATATAGATCTCTTCCAGTCAGTTGGCCAAGTGGTAGGCAGAGCAGATTATCCGGGAGGCTGGGCTCTATGAGGAGAATTGTGGCATCAGGATTGGTGGAAGATCTATTAACAATCTGCGTTGTGCAGATGACACAACCCTGCTTGCTGAAACTGAGGAGGATCTCATGCACTTGCTCCAGAGGGTCAAGGACTGCAGCCTACAATATGGATTGAGGCTCAATGTCAAGAAGACAAAGATTCTCACCACTGGACCAATTGGCAGCATCAGGATGGATGGTGAAGAGATTGAGATTGTTCACAGCTTCAATTTGCTCGGCTCCACGGTCAACACTCTTGGCACCAGCAGTCAGGAAATAAAAAAACATATTGCGATGGGAAAGTCTGCTGTTAATGACCTCTCTAAAGTACTCAAGAGCAACGGTGTCTCTCTGGAGACTAAGGTGCGCCGGATACAGGCCATGGTCTTTGCAATCACTTTCTATGTGTCAGAGAGCTGGACAACGACTAAGAAGGATAGAAAGAGAACTGATGCCTTTGAGCTGTGGTGCTGGAGAAGAGTATTGACTGTACCATGGACTGCCAAGAAAACAAACAGATTCATCCTGGAGAGGGTTAAACCAGGCTACTCGTTGGAGGCTAGGATTCTGGGGCTTCCTCTGACATACTTGGGGCATGTTGCAAGGAGAGACAGGTCCTTAGAGAGGGACATCATGCTTGGGAGGGTGGAGGGATGGCACAAGAGGGGAAGACTCTCTATGAGATGGATTGATTCAGTGACTGGGATAATCGGGATGGATGTGTCAGAGGCAATGCGATTGGCACAGGATAGAGCAGGGTTTAGGGCTGTTGTACATAGGGTCACTATGAGTCGCAAACAACTCGACAGCACATAACAACAACAACATATGCCAGTACTTAGAAAAAGACATTATGCTTGGAAAGGTGGAGGGTCAGTGAAAGTTAGAAAGACTAGCAATGGGCTCAAGTACATCAGAGATAGCGAGGGTGACATAGGATAAGACAGGCTCAGCTCTGTTGTTCATAGTGTCACTCACTATGAGTTGTACTCACCTGAGAATAACAAGTAACAATAGACAGTAACAATAATAAGATCAGTAACAATAATAGATAAAAAACCCTACTTTTAACTATATGGAACTCTGGTAGCAAAGTATATAGAGAGGTTTGAATCCACAAGCTGCTCCACTGGGCCCTTTATGGACAATTTCCTCTGCAATTTATAGTCTCTGAATACCGACTGCAAGGCCAGTTAGACTCAGTTCCAACTTAATAGCAATTAATTGTTGACTCTTTTTTTTTATCTTTAAAAAACTTTTATTGCTGTATGTCATGTATTGTACATGAACTTCGTGTCTTATACAATCATTTATATATATTGTGTCTTATAACTGCAAGATTTTAATTCCTACACTATTTGTAGGAAAACATGGTTACACTTTTATGATCTTTTGAACTTTATTATGTAAGAATCCTATTTGTGTGGATGAGAATAGCAGGATATGTCTAATGGAACAATGAATTAATCACTGACAAGATAAAATTTCTCAACCATCTTATTTGTTTCATTCATATAAAGAATTATGTATTTAAAATAAAAATACATCATTACTTACCTTTGATATCTCTATGAACAATCATGTTACTGTGCAAGTAATGGACACCTTCTAGAATCTGGCGGGTATATTTCCTGGTCACATTCTCAGTAAGAGCTCCATACGCTTTTAATTGGTCCTTAATTGAACCCTAGGATAAAAGAACATTAAGGAAATGATAGCACTCTTTGAAATGAAAACAACTTTTAAATAGTTCTAGTTAATCACCATGAATCCATAATTGTTGAAGACAGATTTTCTTAGGAAACGGTATGTCCTGGAAACCAAGGGGTAAAAATCCCAAAGTCATTCTATAATCCTTGATTAGAACTTTTCAAGTGTTCTTGCTGGAGGAAGCCATATTTCTTTTACTGATGTCCTGGTTTCTAAATGAGACAGGCTAGGTTCTATATTAAACTTCTGAAGACAGTACATATAATTAACAGAAACTACATGGCCACACCTTGCATTTAGAGCTGGACAAGCCGAGATGCCACCTTCTGAAAAAAATTTGTATTTTATACTGGTTTATTTACAAAGTTCATATACCTTGTTTTTCATATTGGATCTTTCTTATTTCCTTCACACACACCCCTTCCACCTATCAAACAGTGTGATACCATGGTTAACACCACCCCTAGCCCTCCTCACCTCTCTGCTTCCACTCTAATCTCTCTTGGATCCTCATACTCATTGACAATAATGGTTTTATACAGTATTGGTCCTTATGGGACTGAGTTAGGTAACTTAGCATAATGCTCTCCAGTCCCTCCCAAGTTAGGAACAAAATCATTGCTCCTGCATGCTGGGTAGTATTCCATTATGTGAATGTACCATAATTTCTCAATCCATTCAATTGTGGCTAGACATTTGGGCTATTTTCAACGTATAAGATTTCCTATCTTACCACATCCTCTCCAAAATTACTTGCTGTCCTGTTAAACTTTGCCACTGCTCCTGGGGCAAGGTGGTATCTCATTGTGGTTTTGACTTGCACCTCTTGTCAGTGATTTTGAGCATTTCTTCATGTGTCTGTTGGCCATCTGAGTATCTTCCTTTCTGAAAAATTTTTCCATGTCTTTTGCCCATTTTGTTTTCAGTCTTTTTCTTGTGAAGGCCCTGTAGGATTCTGTAAACTTTTGATATGAGACGCTTCTCTGAAATAGTATTGCCAAATTATTTTCCCAGTCAGTAGGTTTTCTTTTCTCTCTGTTGGAAAATGTTTTTTGATGCACACTGGAATTTAATCTTTAGAAGGTCTCATTCATCTATTTTATCCTCTCCACGCTGTGCACTTCTGGCTATATCTGACAGCCTTTTTATACTACAGATTAGGCTTGAACCCAGCTTGTCTTGATGAGCTTTATGGCTTTGCACTTTACTCCCAGGTAGGTCTCTGATCCACCTTGAGTTGATTTTGGTGTCTGGTGTGAGATGTGGATCCTGTTTCAGCTTTTTGCAGGGGGAAGTACAGTTTTGCCAGTGCTATTTGTTGAAGAGGCTGTCTTTTCCCCACTTTATAGGTTTTATTTTTGTCAAATACAGCTGAGTCTATTCCTGGGTTCTAAATTCTGTTCCATTGGTCTATGCGTCTGTCACTGTACCAGTACCATGCTGTTTTGGTTACTATGGCTGTATTTTGAGGTCAGGGAGTGCTATGCCTCCTACTTCTTTTTTGTTTTTCAGAAGTGATTTGCTTATTTGGGGACTCTTTCCTCTCCAAATAAACTTGACAATTTCCCTTTCTGTCTGCTTGAAAAGTGAAGATGTATGTATTGGGATTGCACTGAACATGTAGATTGCTTTTGGTAGAATTGTCATTTTCACAACATTGAATCTTCCTATCCATTAACATGGTACATTTCCCCCTTTCTTTAGATGTTTTACTGTATCTTGCAGAAATGTTCTGTAGTTTCCTTTGTAAAGGTATTTTGTGTCTCCAGTTAGGTTTACTCCCAAGTATCAATTTGTAGTTGGCTATTGTAAATGATATTGCTTTCTTGGTTTCTTTCTCTGAGTTCTCTTTGTTCCGGCACAGGAACACCTCTGACTTTTGGATACTGACCTTATATTCTGCCACTCTACTAAATTGGACTACTAGCTCAACAGGGTGTTTTGTTTTGTGGGGTTTTTTATGTACACTATCGTATCATTAGTTTATAGTGATAGTTTAACCATCTCTTTGCTGATCTTGATGCTTTCTCGTTATATTGCCCTAGCAAGCACTTCCAATACAATACTTAATGAAGTGGTGAGAGTGGGCATCCGTGTTTAGTCCTTGTTCACAAGCAAAATGCTTTCAGTCTTTCTCCACTGAGAATGATATTTGTTCTTGGGTTTGCATATATATTTATCATGAAGTAGAGGAAATTGCCTTCTATTTCAATTTTGCTGAGTGTCTTTACCAGGAAGGGGTGTTGTATTTTGGTCAAATGCCTTTTCTCCATCAATTGCTAAGATCATATGGTTCTTGTTATTTGCTTTGTTAATATGGTGAATTACGTTGATTGTTTTTCTTAACGCCAAACACCATCCCTGCATACCTGTTCTGAGTCCCATTTGGGCATGGTGTATTATTTTATTGATATGCTTTTGGATTCTGATGGCTAGAATTTTGCTAAGATGTTGCATCAATATTCCATGAGAGATACTGGTCTGTAATTTTCTTTCTTGGTAATATTTTTGCCTGGGTTTGGTATTAGGGTTATGCTTGCTTCACAGAATGACTCTGGAAGTGTTCCTTCTTTTTCAATTTTTTGAAATAGTTTAAGTAGAATTAGTGATACATCCTCTCTGAATGTTTGGTAGAATTCAGCTCCGAAGCCATCTGGTCCAGGACTTTTCTTATGGGGAAGTCTCTTTATGACCTGTTCAAGTTCTTCTTTTGTGATGGGTCTGTTTAAATGTTCTATAGCTGTACTTATCAGTCTCGGTAGGGCATGGGTTTCAAGGAATTTGTCCATTTCCTCTAGGTTTTAAAATTTATCTGAGTATAGCTTTTCATAGTATTCCAATATTATCATGTTAATTTTCGTTTGTTCTGTTGTGATGTCACCTCTGTCATTCTTTAATCGAGTTATCTGTGTCTTCCCCCCCACCCTTTTGTTAAGTTTGCCAGAGGTTTATCAATGTTATGGATTCTTTCAAAAAAACCAGCTCCTGGTCTTACTGGTTTTAAACCATTTTTCTGTTTTCTATATAATTGTTTTCTGCTCTTGTCTTTATAGTTTCTTTTCTTCTAGAGGCTGTAGGATTAGATTGTTGTTCTTTTCCTATTTGCTGTAGGTGCTGAGTTAGACTATTGATTCTTTGTCTTCTTTCTTCCTTTTTTATGTGTGTGCCTGTTGGTATGAACTGCCCCAAAGACTCCCTTAGCAGTCCAGAGGTTTTGGTATCTTGTATTTTCATTTGTTTCAAGGAACTTTTTAATTTCATTCTTTAATTCTTTTATAACCCACTCATGTTCTAGCAGAGTTATTCAGCCTCAACATGGTTGGTTTTTTAAGCTTTACTCTGCTGTGGTTAATTTCTATTTTTATGGCATTGTGATCTGAGAAGATATTTTGTATTATTTCAATGTTTGTTTAATTTGTTGAGGCTTGCTTTGTCTCCTGATATGCAATCGATTCTGGAGAATATACCATGTACATTTGCGAAGAAAGTAAATTGAGTTTTAGTTGGGTGCAGTACCCTGAATATATCCATAAAGTCGAGTTGGCTGATTGTATAGTTTAGATCTTCTGCATCTTTGTTGAGTTTCTTTTAGGTTGACCTATCCTTTGGTGATTATGGTGCTATTTCTTTCTTCAATTCTGTTAACTATTGTTTTATGTATTTAGCAGATCTGCCATTTGGTGCATAAATACTGATGAAGGTTATGTCTTCTTGATCTATTGTGCCTTTAATCAGTATGTAATATCCTCCCTTTTTATGGTGGTTTTCAGTCTGAAATCTATTATATCGGAAATTAGTATTGCCACTCCTGCTTTTTTTGAAGTTGCCATTTGCTTGGTATATTTTTACCCCAGTCTTTGATTTTAAATCTGTCTTTCTCTTCTTTTTTTAAATATGTCTCTTGTAGGCTACATATTGATAGACTTTGTTTTTTTTTATCTATTCTGCTACTCTTTTTCTCTTAACCGGTGCATTTAGTCCATTCACATTAGGTGTGATTATTTTCAGGCCAGGTCTTACTTTTGTGATTTTGCCATGATTCTTTTCCTGTTCTTTCTGGTTACTATGGTCCATGTACTTTCCCTTGGACTCTACATTTGAAGGACTTGACTTAAAATTTCTTGTAGTTTTGGTCTTTTTCCCCCACAAATTCCTTAAGTTTCTTCTTTTCTGCAAAGTATCTAATTTCTCTTTCATATTTTATGGAGAGCTTTGCTTGGTCTAATATCCTTGGCAGGTAATTTTTCCCCCCCAATATGTCATCCCACTGTCTTCTAGCTTGAATGGTTTCTCTTGAGAAATCACAACTTAATCTAATTGTTTCACCTTTGTAGGTAACTCTTTATTTCATGCTGCTTTTAGAATTCTATTTTTATTTGGAAAAATTTAACTATGATAGGTTTTGATGTTTTTCTTTTTGGGTATAGTCTTTGGTATTTACTGTGCTTCTTCTGGTTTTCCCCATTCTTCAAAATACCTGAGAAGTTTTCTTCTAGTACTTCTTCCACTATTTTCTCAGTGATTTCACTGTCTCTCCCTTCTGGAATTCCAAGGATACATATACTGTTCCTTTAGATGTCATCTCGTATGATTCTAATGTTTTCTACATTTTCTTTCCCTCTCATCTCTGATTTTTTTTTTCTAGTATGATTTTAGTGAGGTTCTTGTCTTCTAGATCACTGATCCCATCTCTTCAGTTCCACTTTTTGGTCCTATAAAAAAGCGTGTTGGACACTTGTGCCATTTCAGTCTTAATATTCTGGATTGCATTTTCATGCTTTCCTGTTATTTCCAGTACTATGTTGGCTCTATGTCTTGTGCTGATTTTTAAAGTTCTTGTATCTCCTTATCTATTCTATCAATTCTTTCTTCCGTCTTTTCTATTTTGCTCCATAGCTGTTCAAGTTGCTCCTCATCAATCTGTTTCTTCTGGATTGTTGTCTCTGGGGTATTTGCTTTTTTGTTTCTTCCATCATT